CCCTAAACCCTAAACCCTCAGGGGCAACCATGCGGGGGGCAGCTGCAGTTTGTGGGCGGCGTGCCTCAGGCCCCTGAGCCCGGAGCTGCCTGAAGTTGCGTGAATCACGGTTTAGGGTTTAGGGTTTAGGGTTTAGGGTTTAGGGTTTAGGGTGGAGCTTATGGCGGTCTAATTATGATTACAGGGTTTTGCGGCTTAAGATGTTCGGGCCAAGCAGCAATTTTTGGGGCGCGCTGTGGAGCGAAATTGAAGCCTGGGGCCCGGGGTTCAGGTGTTTATGGACATCTCACCCTTCCACCAAACCCACCCAGACTGCAGACCTCTGTGCCGTTTGAACTTTGGGTCCGACCTCGAAGATGACGGCGATGAATGGGACCCTGGCAAAACAGGCAGCAGAAGTAGGTTCCGCATCTACTGATACTGCTGGACTCTTACAGCTTGAGCCAGTGGGACCATCCCTTGGTCAAAAGCATAACCTGGATTTGTCCCCAAACCCCGCACTCAATGACCCCTGCCATAAAGTAGTTGAAAGCCTTCGCCAGGAGCTTTGATGTCAAACTGCCCTGCCTGCTTAGCCTTGGGTCTCAGCAAGTCTCTAAACTAAACCCCTAAACCCTACGCCGGGCAACTTTTAACCCTACAGCTTTCAGTCTTTCCAGGCTGGCGGCTCTTTTTTAACCGGATGTTGGCCGAGCCAGGCCATGGGAAGATGTGTTGCTGTACGGGCTGGGAGAGAAGCCGAAGAAGTCCTAAGGCTACAACAGCCGCAGTCAACAAGTACCTTTGATCGGAAGGGATATGCTGACTGCGGCTGTTGTAGATCTAGTTCTAACCGAAGGATCCGAAACAAAGGACACAGCCCTCAGAGGATCAGTCGGTAAGGCCATGCTCGAGCTGACCAGAATTTGACGGATATAATCCGCGCGGTCAGATAAGCGGTTCTGCGTCGAGTCGACTTTATCACTGCTGTTTTTTGCTACACTATTGTTGTGAAATTTTCAATCTCGGCGATATCGCCTCCGAGATGGAATCTGCTGGCTCGCACGAATAGTGATGATACTGCATGATGCAGGTTGTTCGAGTATCAGCAGTGGTGATGCTAAGAGACACTATATCGGTAGCAGCACCTCGAGATGCTCACCCAGGACAGTCGACGGGTTAGCCTTGTCACGGGGCTTAAGAAGTTTGAGGGTTCAGAGTTTCTCAACTCTAAACACTGAGCCGAGCCCCAACCCAAAACCCGCTTGCAGACGGAGGAACCGAGCTCACACAAAAAGAATTCGGTATAAGCCCTCGACCTCCACCCTCACCATCCGAAAGCAAATCCGAAGCTGCAACCCGTCTTAGGACGCGTCTGCGTCCCCGTGCTTCCAAGTGCCAGCCTACAGCGAGACTCGGACGCAAAGCTTGAACACCAATGGTTAGTTCTCTAAATTAGGGTCCGTTTTGGGGTCCTTTTTATAAGGGTGCCGTACCATATTGGGGACCCAAAAAGGGACCCTAATTTAGAGAACTACCCCAATACTAGTGACTTGCGCAGCTCACTCATCGTTTCCCGCAGCCAACGACCCGACACCTTCTACATCCCGAAGTTGCAGGGACCTGCATCCAGGAGCCTAGAAGTCCTAGACCAAAATAACAAGCCGCAAAAGCCACAAAGAGTCAGGCCGAACCCCTGTCTTCGTCTGCGGTGCTGGCATGCGGCGTGACTCGACCGCGTTGCGCCGCAAACCTGGATTTAAGTCTTGATGGTTTGCTTTGAGGGTCTCGGGTTCAAGCTTGTATGGTCATGTCACATGTCTGAATCCTAAATGGGAGTTTCCGAAAATTAAGGGTACCTTATTTTGGGATCCTTATAATAAGGATCCTATTATTTGGGGTACTATATTAGGGTCCCCTATTTTCGGAAACCCCAAATCAGCCCGAAGCACCAAAACCCCACAACCGTAAACCCCAAAGCCCAGAACCCCACGCCTCGATGTCCGACTCCAACCCCGACTACATGTGCCAGGCTGCTGCAGCCTGCAACCCAGAAGGTGCGTGGCTGGAGTTAGGGTGCAAAGTAAAGTGTGGGGTTGACAACGGAAGACTTTGAATCAAGGGGGCCGCAACGCCGGCTTCGTTGAAGAAAGGGGGGTCAGGGACATCTGCAGCTTGGGTAACCTCAGGCTTTGGAGGCTGGGGCGCTTCAAGGGCCTTACGGCTGGGCCTCAGAGCGAAATAGACCCTCAGCTCTGAAATTGTAAACCCGAGGCCCAAGACCCCCAAAACCTCGGCTCCAAACTGCAAATGCTCCAAAAGGTATGCAATAGGGTCTTGAGCCGGGGGCTCGTTGTTCAAGGGCAGGTTGGGGAGTTATGACTTTGCTAACTCTGTCAGAAATTCATGCTTGGGGCTGTGCCCTGCGTTGCCTGTAGTAGCTCATGCACAACAGACCTATAGTTTTTGTGCAGCACGTCGTTCGTGGTGAGCCCGTGGATGTCCAGACTAGCCGAAACCATGGCCGTGCTAACCGTTGGCATCAGCCTACTTCATCGCTGGAATTTCCGATAGCCAATATAAATCAGAATACTACATGATATCCATCGCGATGGTGTAGAGATCATGCAAGCTGTAACTGTAACCATCACAGTGGCCACAGAAGTCACGATGGCCGCATGCCAAGCCAAGTCATGCTAATCTTAGTGGTGGTAATTGCAGCGTAAGCATCGTGTGGAATTTAAGGTTCCTAGCGCCCCCACAAACCTCATAAGCTCATCCTCAACGAGTCATCTTTTTCAATCATGCTGAAAGCTGT